TCCCTTATTTCTACAGCTGTACATGCACGCCACACTGCATCCCACAGAGGCCGAGCGTGATTTTCCATAGATTGTTAGTTTGGTGCCATTCCCCGATCGTCCGGTGTAATTTTTGGACGACCTCGCTAGGAGTGTTGTTGGGCCACAGTTCCATGAGGTGGCACCGGCTAGTGGGGGACATGAGGGTAGCGCTGCGGGTGATGGGCATGATGACGAGTCCGGTACAGGGATAGAGGACGATGAGACATCCATGAGCGATGACCGTCAGACACCAGAGGTCAACGAGGACGATGGGTCTAAGGCTGATGAGAGTGGAGATAGCGATCGCGACACCTCCAGTGAGACCAGTGTTGGTGACATCGAGGACGACGAGGATGCCTCAGGATGACAGTCGGGTGCATTACCCACTCCAATGGTTGCCCTGTCCACATCTGGGCTGCAGGGTACACGTTGTGGACGGACTGTGACAAGGGAGGACGTGGAGGGCATGTTGTTGGACCAGCGCATCCTCTTCAAGATGAAATCGCGGACTGTGAAGCTTGAAATCATTCAGCATGTGATCGAGGAGGTTGCCAGACCGAGGGACTTCATATCTATCTTGGTGCCCCCGTCCAGTGGTATCTCCACTTCCGTTGTAGCTTCTATCATGAATGAGCCAAACATTTGGGATGACCCCCATGAAGGTATGAGTTTATGTTACTGTAACTTCCACTTACAACATGTCTGTAGAGCTATGCAATTTTTCCTATGCGTTCACTTACAAATGTATTTTTTAAATTGCCAAATTACTTAGATGTAGATGGAGGAGACATGGACCTATGCCCGGATGACGGTGGCCATCCTTCGCCTACCGAGAACTTGGAGGTGAATGGTATGTTGGTTAGTTATGTGTAACACATATTTGTATTTGATGTCATCTCATCTCGTGATATGCAACTGTATTTAATTTCACTCCTTCAATAATTTTTTTATTTTCCAACTAGACGGGGAAGGCAGCGATGAACAGAGCCCACATGATGACGTCCATGCAGAGGAGGTTGAAATGCAGGAGGTGAACGGTATGTGCGTAATTTTTGTATTTTATGTCATCTCATCTCGTGATATGTAAATGTATTCAATTTCACTCGTTGAATAATTTTTTCTTTGTTTTCGAGTAGCCGAGGAAGGCAGCGATGAACGGAGCCCACACGACGATGACCATGCAGACGAGGGTGAAATGCAGGAGGTGAACGATACGTGCGTAATTTTTTTCAACTTTTGTCATCTCATCTCGTGATATGCATATATATTCAATTTCACTCCTTCATTAATTTTTTCTTTGTCTTCCAACTAGACGGGAAAGGCGGAGACAAACTGAGCCCACAGGACGATGATCGTGCAGAGGAGGGTGACATGCAGGAGGTGAACGGTACGTGCTTAATTTTTTTCAACTTCTATGATTTGTGTTCTATTACTAATCACTTACCCCTTACGCAAATGATAATTCATATCTTGTGTTTGTCTATTTCACCCAATTTGCTTTCAACTAGACCCAGGAGAGATCGTCCCCACCCTCCCAGACGACGAGAACGAGGAAGGCCCATCGACCCATGACATCACGGAGGTGGATAGTACATGCCTATTTTCCTTGAATAATCTGATTCCATGACTATGTGGCCTCCTTCACATAGAACTATTTCACTAAAATGCTGAAATTTTTTATATGGGTACTGCCACAGAGTTTTCAGCACAGGTGACCGTACCAGAAAAGGGAGGCAATGTGGGTAACACAAATAGGCAGCGATCGACTCGTGTTTGACGTCCTACACCACCTACTCGGACTCCATACACGAGGGGAAGGGCAAAGAGGGTAAAGAAATAAGTGAGTTCAAGTTGTTTGGTAAGGTGTGTTGTAGATACGTTGTTCGTAACAAGGACATGTTTTTAATTTGGTTTGCTCAGCCATATGCTATACGTTAAACTATCTTACGTAGAGGACATATCATTTTGCGATAATAAATATTTAGTGCAAGCATGGGATGGTATTACTGGTCAATTTTTTGTGTATTCGTTGATGAAATAATGCATGTATTGTTCATGAAATATGTTACACATTAAACTGTCTTATGTAGAGTACATATCGTTTTGCGATAATAAATGCTTAGTGCAAGCATGGGATAGTATTGTCGATCTATTTTGTGTGTATGCGTTGACAAAATAATGCATGTATTGTTTATGAAATGTGAAAGGGTAGATCAACATCACAACTAAAATGAATATATCATCATTCTTATACATCCCAGTCATATGATTTGTCAAGACGAACTGACGATTTTTCCTATCAGAGTCTTCACAAAAATCTGCATACCTCCCTTTAACCTCAGTACCAAGTGTAGAGTTGACTCCTTCTGAATGTTATAGTCTGCCAATGTTCAGCCATCCTCAAGCTGTTTGCCAGCGAAGATCAGCCTCTCCTGGTCAGGTGGGATTCCCTTCTTGTCTTGAATTGTAGCTTTAACATTATCAATGGTGTCGAAGCTGTCACCTTCACGGGTTATTGTCCTCCCAGTAAGGGTTTTGACAATAATCTGCCTACCACCACCAAGCTTCAACACCAAGTGGAGTGTGGACTCCTTATGAATATTATAGTCGGCCAAACTACGGCCATCCTCAAGCTGTTTACCAGTGAAAATGAGCCTCTGTTGGTCTGGTGCGATGCCTTCCTTGTCTTGTATCTTGGCTTCACCATTATATTTATGGCATGTATTGTTTATGATATGTGAAAGGGTTGTTCGTTTTTTGGTGATTAGATCGCATGCACGTTTCCTACTCCATGGGTGAGTAAATTTTTTGGTTTTTACGTTGATTGGATGGATAGTTACGAACATTCTCTGTTGTGTCATTTCACTTTAACAGACACCTGATGCAGGTAGGCAGCAGATTCATTCGGAGGGCTGATTTTTGAGTTGATCATGTGCGTTCATCGAGGTGTGATGACGAATTTTTGCAGAATGATGAAGAGTGCAAAAAAAAATGAAGGCTAAATGCTAAATCAACAGGTGTAGTGATTAGCACCAAAAAACAGCCAAAGAGATCCAAACCTGGGTTCATGCCTGAAGGTGCAACTGTGGAGACTATTACTCCTATTCCATATGATGTGTTTAATGATCTCAAGGGGGGTTATGAGATTACTTAAATTCCATATTGGGATATGGTTAAGTGGAATGGACATTGAGAGAGGACATTTGTTTGTACTCTAATTAAATTGATGTTCATTCTACTTGGTGAAGTAGTAGTATTTTGTACTTTAATTTCATTGGAGTTGAAGGTGTTATACCTGCACAAATGAATCATTGTATGTAATTATTTTGTGTGTAATGGAGCGTGGTCGAAGGATCGAGGACAATGATTATTGTAAAATTTGCATTACCGTATTATGAATAATTCATTGTTATCTTTGCTACGTTGACCCCAACATTACAATCGATGTATGTTTATTTCAACATGCGTTTTAGCATAAATGAGCTTGTTCGTACAAATTAAAGTTTATTTGAAAAATGGCTAGTTGTGTCACCCAATGTTCATCTTTATTGGTAGGGACATTAATTTTATCAATTTTTAATGCAATTCATATGATTTAGAGTTTAAAAACTGTATTCAATTATGACTAAGGACTAAAAAAATTAAGTAAAGTACTTCCAAATTGATTGCCAATCCAGCTGCAGGAATGTTGCCATTGCAGGTCTTGCACATGGGTACAATTTACTCATAATTCTCACCTTTTATAGACTGCATTAAAGTACAGTTACACCCTTAACCATCACACCAATGGTCAATGAAGTGTTAAGTAGAAATGAAATGGTGGTTGGTTGTTAAATTGCTTTAAATGTCCTCAAATACCTCCAGTATAAAGCATGGCTTACACTCTTCAAGTGGGATATATGAGACTCTTTGTGAGGCATCTTGTAGCAGGAATGTATCACAATATTTGAAATCTGTTTCTCCATATGAAAACAATGGCATCGTCTTCAGGAAGCAATTCACCGCTGCCAGTTGAGGAGCCTTTGCCGACACCCAGTTCAACCCCGCTATGTCCCATCGTAATTTCTTCAGACGATGAGGAAGTGAGTTCCAATGGTGGTAGGAGAGCCATTACTATCGTTCCCTTTCCGAACCTAGATGAAGTTGCAAGTGATACAGGTGAGTCTTCGAGAAATGTGCTTGAATGGGTCATCCCATTTATGGATGCAGACGAAGTTGAACGTCACAAGGATGAGGGGCAAGGTCGCGTTCCATCGCCCGAGGTAATTGTCATCAGCTCGGATGATGACGGTGGGGAAGAAGGTTCAAGTGTTAGCTTCGAGTGAAGAGTCCGGCTTTGTTGCGTGTGTGGGTTTCTACATATGTATGTATAGTGCTTTTTTGTAAGGGATGGATTTTGTTACGTATACACCAACCAATTCTGTAGTATGTAGAAAACTCCCGTTGGCAAGTTATGTGTATTTTGTATTTTATTAAGTGGAGCGTTGAACAACTGTCGAGAATGGCAGGCACCATCTGTTGGGAATGACAGATGAACTATCGGGATTTACTGGAAAATTTTCTGTGTATGTAGTATGCATATTCATATAACATGTATTTTGGGTGAACATTCAACCTCATATGTACATTCAACGTACTTTGTGAACAATGCGGACAGTGTTATGCGCTAAAAATGATGTGTTCGTAATATGCATTTGAAAGGAAACATGTATAATGGTTGAACATTTCCTATTCCGTACATTGAATTTACATGTGTCAACAATGGCAACAATGTTATGCACAGCAAAATTGAATTTTGGTTCGAGGCTGTTATGCAGTACGTTGTGCCTATTTGCATACTGTAATTGTGAACATAAGAAAGAGTAATGTTTATGTGTAAGAGAATGAAAACAGTAATACAATATTTACATTGTCATATACAAACGACATCGAGGGAACACTTCACTTACAACTTCAACCACTCACGTACAAAATGTTGCTTACATAGGACGTGGTATAGTGTAGTTCGAACATGTGGTCCAGTTATAACCAAGTCCACCGTAGCGAGTGCATTTCCTAAGCCATGTGGTACACTCGTGTTTGGATCGCTTACGTCGTGTGGGTGGTCTACCTGGAGGACGACGTACACTGGGGGGCATAATAGGAGTACTTGTAATTTCGGCTGGAACAATCCAGTCCACTTCACGCAAAACAGGATATATAGCTTCTCCATAGGCACCCTTCCAGTACTCGAATGTGTAATATGATGAGCAGAGATCGTACAATGACTTACCTCTCAAGCAAGCAGCATGGGTTGCGTGAATGCACGGCATACGATTTAGTTGGAACTCACGACAAGTGCACGTGTTCTCGGAGAAGTCTACGATGTTCGTGTTGCTGGATATTCCAACTTGTGTTAAGTTATCTGTCAAGCCATGTGCTCGCAGCCTAGTACTTGCTTCAAAGATTGTCCGTAACTCATTCTCCATCGTTGGTGATAGAATGGTACTACATGCGGTTGCACTTGCTCGACGTTCATAAAACCACTCCTGCATAGTATGTCGAATGTGTTCTACTAAGCACGTGATCGGTAACGAACGGGCGTGTCTCAACATTGAGTTCAAAGATTCTGACTTGTTGTTGGTCAAAATGTTGTACTGTTGGCCAACAAATAGTGCCCATGACCAAAATAGGAAACCTGCTCGCTCCAAGTACCCGTATGCTCTAGCACTTACCCTACGAAGCTGTCCCATAAGTCTTTCAAACTCTTCAGTCCGGTAGGTTCTTGTGGCTCTTTTGAATAGAAATATTCAACTTACATTATTGTACCGCTGGATTAAATTCTTTTCCATATGCCAGACACAGGACCCGTGGTGAGCCCGAGGAAATAGGTGGGCAATGGCATTTTCAATACTATTTTTCCTGTCAGAAACAAACACCAATTCGTCCGAGTCACCTATAAGATCTTTCAAATTTGATAAAAACCACATCCACGATCTATTCGTTTTGGCATCAACGATCCCCCCATACTAACGGATAACATTCGACGTATTCACAGTGGAAATCCAGTCGCATGTATCCGGACTTTTGGAATGTGATAATAGTTCTTTGTCAATGTTAGTAATATTACCAGTACTTGTACCATGTAAGGGATCATCGAACATCTCATCTAATGGTGCAGTCCCAACATCGAAAACTGGAGTATCCACTGCATTATTGTTTGGGACACTGTGCGAAAACTCCGAGCTGCGCAGAACACTCCGCGCTGCGTGGAGTGCTCAAAGTTTACTTTTTTTGGATGTATTTTGGTAATTTGGTCGTAACTTCTGCTACGGTTATCAGAATTGCACCCATGATCCCAATTCGAAAAGCTCTTTTCGATGCGCACATCTGGACCACCAATGTCCACACTTTGCTCTGTACAAATTGTAAAGACTCTGCGCTGCGCGAAGTATGTGCGGAGCCAACACTCTACACAACACGGAGTGTTGGCTGTGCGGAGTGTTGGGGCGAAACACTCCAAGCTGTATGGAGTGCTCAAAGTTTACTTTTTTTGGGACGTATTTTTAGTAATTTGGCCATAACTTTTGCTACGATGAACAGAACCGCGCCCATGACCCCAATTCGAAAAGTTCTTTTTGACATGCACGTCCTGGCCACCAATGCCCACACTCCACTCTATGTGGAGTGCAAAGACTCCGCGCTACGTGGAGTCTATGCGGAGCCAACACTTCGAACAGCACAAAGTGTTGGGGCGAAGGAGTGCTCAATTTTTTTGGGACGTATTTTTGGTAATTTGGCCATAACTTTTGCTACGGTTATAAGAATCGTGCCCATGACCCCAATTCGAAAAGCTCTTTTCGATGCGCACATTTTGGCCACCAATGCCCACACTCTGCTCTACGTGGAGTGCGAAGACTCCACACTGTGCGGAGTGACTCTGTGCTGCGTGGAGTGAGAAAAATCTGGGTTGCGCGGAGTGTGAAGACTCTACGCTGCGTGGAGTTTGTGCAGAGCTAATACTCTGCATAGCGCGGAGTGTTGGGGAGAAATACTCCGCGCTATGCGGAGTGCTAAAAGTTGCCTTTTTTTTTGGGATGTATTTTTGGTAATTTGGCCATAACTTTTGCTACAGTTATCAGAATTATGCCCATGACCCCAATTTGAAAAGCTCTGTTCGACGCGCACGTCTTGGCCTCAAATGCCCACACTCTCCTCTGTGTGGAGTGCAAAGACTCTGCACTGTGTGAAGTGACTCCGTCCTGTGTGGAGTGCGAAAACTCCGAGCTACGCGGAGTGCCAAGACTCCGCGTTGTGCGGAGTCTGTGAGAGCTAACACTCCGTATAGCATGGAGTGTTGGGGAGAAACACTCCGTGCTGCGCGGAGTGCTCAAAGTTGACTTTTTTTTGGATGTATTTTTGGTAATTTGGCCATAACTTTTGCTACGGTTATCAGAATCGCGCCCATGACCCCAATTTGAAAAGCTCTTTTCGACGCGCACATCCTAGCCACCAATGCCCACACTCCGCTCTGCGAGGAGTACGAAGACTCCTCACTACGCGAAGAGATTCCACATTGTGCGGAGTGCGAAGACTCCACGCTTCGTGGATTCTGTGCAGAGCCAACACTCCACATAGCGCGGAGAGTTGGGGTGAAACACTCCGCGCTGCGCGGAGTGCTCAAAGTTTACTTCCTTTTTTTTGTGTAATTTGGCCATTACTTTTGCTACGGTTATCAAAATCGCGCCCATGACCCCAATTCGGAAAGCTCTTTTTGACGCGCAGGTCTTAGCCTCTGATGCCCACATTGCGCTCGGTGCAGAGTGCGAAAACTCCGAGCTGCATGGAGTCTGTGCGGAGCCAACACTCCGACAGCGCGGTGTGTTGGGTCAAAACACTTCACGCTGCGCGGAGTGCTCAAAGTTTACTTTTTTTGGGTCGTATTTTTGGTAATTTGGCCATAACTTTTGCTACGGTTATCAGAATCGCACTCATGACCCCAATTCGAAAGCTCTTTTCTACTCGTACGTCCTGGCCACCAATGCCCACACTTTGCTCTGCACGAAGTGTGAAGACTCCACACTGCGTGGATTCTATACAGAGCTAACACTCCGCACAGCGCGGAGTGTTGGTGCAAAACACTCTGTACTGCACGGAGTGCTCAAAGTTTACTTCTTTTGGGGTAATTTGGCCATTAGTTTTGCTACGGTTTTCAAAATTGCGCACATGACCCCAATTCGGAAAGATCTTTTCGATGCGCACGTCTTGGCCGTCAATGCCTACACTACGCTCTGCGTGGAGTGCAAAAATTTTGAGCTGCACAGAGCGACTTCACGCTGCGCAGAGTGTGAAGAGTACGCGCAGCGTGGAGTCTGTACGGAGCCAACATTCTGATAGCACGGAGTGTTGGAGCGAAACACTCCGCGCTTTGCGGAGTGCTCATAGTTTTCATTTTTTTGGGACATATTTTGGTAATTTGGCCCTAACTTTTGCTACGGTTATCAGAATTGTACTCATGACCCCAATTCGAAAAGCTCTTTTCTACTCGCACGTCCTGGCCACCAATGCCCACACTTCGCTCTGCGTGAAGTGCGAAGACTCCGCACTGCGTGGATTCTATACAGAGCCAACACTCCGCACAGCGTGGAGTGTTGGTACAAAACACTCTGTACTGCGTGGAGTACTCAAATTTTACTTTTTTTGGGTAATTTGGGCATTAGTTTTGCTACAGTTTTCAAAATCGCGCACATGACCCCGATTCGGAAAGCTCTTTTCGACGCACACGTCTTGGCCATCAATGCCCACACTACGCTCTGTGCAGAGTGCGAAAACTTTGAGCTACGCAAAGCGACTTCACGCTGCGCGGAGTGCGAAGAGTACATGCAACGTGGAGTCTGTACGGAACCAACACTCCGACAGCACGGAGTGTTGGAGCGAAACACTCTGTGCTTTGCGGAGTGCTCATAATTTTCATTTTTTTGGGATGTATTTTGGTAATTTGGCCCTAACTTTTGCTACGATTATCAGAATCGCGCCCATGACCCCAATTCAGAAAGTTATTTTCGACGTGCACGTCCTGACCACCAGTGCTCACACTCTTCTGTGCGCGAAGTGCGAAGACTCCACACTGTGCTAAGCGACTCCACAATTTGGAGTCTATGCAGAGCCAGAGTGTTGGAGTGAAACACTCCACGCTGTGCAGAGCGCTCTAAGTTTACTTTTTTTTGGAACGTATTTTGGATAATTTGGCCATAACTTTTGCTACGGTTGTCAGAATCACGCCCATGACCCCAATTCAAAAAACCTTTTTCGACGCACACATCCTGGACACCAATGCCCACACTCTACTCTACATGGAGTGCGAAGACTCTGCGTAGAGTCGAGTGTTGGGGGGAAGGAGTGCTCAAAGTTTACTTTTTTTTGGGACGTATTTTTGGTAATTTTGCCATAACTTTTGCTACGGTTATCAGAAATGTGCCCATGACCCTAATTCGAACACACCTGTTACCACGGGTGGATTTGTCTCAGCATCAGATCTGGTAATAGTAAACACCCTAGCTGGCACTTTCTTTTGCTCCATAGGGTTTGGATTACCCGGGCATGCTCTAGCAAGATGTCCCATCTTTCCACAAACATAACATGTTCTAGTCTCTATAGGACATGCTCCAGTATGCTGTCCACCACATTTGGGACAAGATGGTTGTGTTGTTTAGGCTTATGATTGTGTTATAAACTATCATCTCGGTAAGGCTAATGTTGTAGCTGATGCATTGAGTAGGAAGTCGACATCCAGTGTTTCGAATATGATTGTAACTCAAAAATCAGAATTGATAGATTTACAAAAAATGGGTATTGAAGTTATGTCACAAGGATCTATAGAGGCTAAACTTGCTGCGTTGACACTTCAGCCAACTTTACTGAACAGAATTCAGCAAGGGCAACAGGAAGATGATTATTGTTCCAAAATAAAGAATGATATACATGATGGAAAAGCTTCAGATTTTCATATATTAGCAGATGATATCTTGTGGTTTAGAGGACGATTATATGTACCTGATACAAAAAATATCCGAGGTGATATTTTATCTGAAGCTCATATGACACTCTATTCTGTTCATCCTGGAGCTACTAAAATGTATAGAGATTTGAAGTTGCACTATTGGTGGCCGAACATGAAAAGTGAGATAGCCGAATACGTGGCACAATGTTTAACTTGTCAACAGATAAAAGCAGAACATCAAAGGCCGGCAGGAACATTACAACCATTACCTATCCCGGAATGGAAATGGGAAAGAATCACAATGGACTTTGTGGTGAAATTACCAAAAATGACTAAAGGATATGATAGTATTTGGGTTATTGTGGATAGGTTAACAAAATCAGCCCATTTCATTCCAGTTTGTTCCACTTACTCCATGGACCGATATGCTCAGCTTTATGTACAAGAAATAGTCAGACTTTATGGAGTACCACTATCTATTGTCTCAGACAGGGATTCTAAGTTTTTATCTCTCTTCTGGAGAAGCTTACATAAGGCTTTGGGAACACAATTATCTTTTAGCACAGCTTATCATCCTCAAACTGACGGGCAATCAGAAAGAACCATACAAATATTGGAAGATATGCTAAGGGCGTGTGTATTGGACTTCCAACGCCAGTGGAGTAAATTTTTACCTTTGGTAGAATTTGCATACAACAATAGTTATCAGGCTACAATTGGTATGGCTCCTTATGAAGCATTATACGGTAGAAAATGTAGATCTCCAGTTTATTGGGATGAGGTTGGAGAAAGGAAACTATTAGGTCCAGATATGGTACGTGAAATGGTTGAGGTTGTGACACAAATACGTCAACGGATGCAAACCGCTCAAAATCGACAAAAATGTTATGCAGATCAAAGAAGAAGAATATTAGAATTTACTGTGGGAGATCAAGTATTTTTAAAGATAGCACCAATGAAAGGAGTGATGCGGTTTGGAAAGAAGGGAAA